AAATTTCAACTGAAGACAAATCAAAACCAATTAATGCATAACAATAAGTTCTAGTGATATATACACAATGTTTAATAATTATTGACATAGACATTATTGCATGCTAAATTCGAGAGACGTGTTGCCTGATGATGTCACTGACGAAAAAGAATGATAAATAATGAGAGAGCTACCCTAGCTGTAACTACTCATCGCTTGAGCTCAAATTGAGTGCACAAGGAAATTTCGGTAAAACCAGAAGAACCTTCAAAGGGCTCGTATCATAGATCTGCTTTATTGTCCATAGATAAATCTAATGACCTTTGGAATATTCTGAAATTTTTAGCTGAAAACAATGTTCCTTTGTTGAAATATTGAATTTTAAAGTAAACTCGATTTTTATAACATGCCTGTGATGATAAATCTTACTTTGATCAAAAAGAAAAATGCCGATTAATTCAAACATTGATGGTAGGAGTATAGGTAAATAGAAGACTCCAACATCCACATCCGCACCGAGATGCATACCCTATATTTTGACAACTACTTTCGGTATTTCTATTGAAAGCTCTATATCTCTGTTGACAAATGCACATTCTTTAGTGCTAAAACTTTCAAGATATTTTCAACATCATGAGATAACATCTTTGGACTGAATTTCAGGTCGAAATTTTATTATTTGATTTTTAGTTAATACCTACGAACGAGCCGAAAATTCAGTAAAACGATCATAATTCGTCTCCTGAAAGTCATGAGCACGAACCTTTTTAGAATTTTTCTAGTGTGCCAAGACTTCCTGATGGTCCAATATGAATTGAAACGACGACTTGTAGTTGGGATAATGATCTTATATTTATTTCATTTCGTGACCAATTCATTGAGTCTTGTTTGCTTTCTGATATAATTTTTATGATTTCTCATTATAATAATTTCCGGTTTTATTTTTTTCAAAGATTTCTCCTAATAAAATTGGTACATGTTCTATTAGCTTCATTATTATTTGTCGTTGTTGTTTTCATTAACTATGTTGATTCTCTTTCTTCAATATCATCATCAATTAATTGAAACATATGCCCAAGTGATTTTGAGTATATATTCATATGCAAATCTTCATATATCCTGATAAAATATCAAAAATATCAAGTTACTTGGCTTGTGTCATTTCACGTGCTTCGATAACTCTTACTTCATATGGCATATTATTCATGATCTTGACCACATAAAGCTGTACATATTATTTAATTTAAAAGCCGCCTTTTTAGAATTTTGTTCAGTAAGATCATGTGGTGAAAATCAGATATATTGGCGAGTTGACCCGTTTTTATATAATCCGTCCGACCCGTGACCTGACCCACAACCTGCGGGACGGTTGGACCTCTGACGGATCACAGATTCTTTTCATCTTTCGTTTTTACCTTCTACGTAGGTTAATTTTCACTATTCTTCCTATTTCTTCGCTCCTCCTCTGCTCTAGTTGTTCGTACTATTTCTGTCGTTTTCCAGTATAATGAGAATATTTGGAAAGTACTGTATTGATTTGGATTTGATCTAGTACTATGGTAGAACGTTGTTGAGGTTTTCTCTCTTTTAGAAAGAGTCAGGCGTGAACATTCATGAAAGAATTCTATTGAAATGTATTTTTTTCAAAGGCCAGAAATACTTGAAAATAAAAAGCTTCAGAAAACCCTTCTACAATTGTTTTGAAAGTACAAAAGATTTCATCGTATTACTTAGATCAATTAATTATATATTTATTTGTTAGAGGTGACTTGTACAAGTTAGATACATAGCATTGCTGTTGTACAAAGGAAACATTGTAGTGTAAGTCTGAGTCTTCATGTCAGCCACACTGACATCTATACCCACATTTACAGTTCTTGCATGTTGTAACATCTCGGGTGATAGTTTTTGTTATAGTGATAGTAGTATAGTTGGAGTAGTTATGTCTATTCATGATGTCAATTCTTCTGGTAGGCATTGATTGTTAATACTAGTTAATTCTGCAGTTTTCCTTCTTAAGGATTATTGGCTATCAATTCTTTTCGAGAAATAGTTAAGATCAAGAACTCCTCGAGGAATTGAGCAGAAGATGGAAGAGTACTCAAATCTAAGTCTTTGTCTTTCGCGAGTTTTTAATACTTTTCTATTCCAATCAACTGATCAGTCAAAACATGAATTTTACAATTTGCAGCCACAGAACAAAACGCTAATGCCAGTAAAACATAAACATCGTTTGGAAAACTCTGAAGCAGTATTTCATTAAAAAAAAAGATGCGTATTATGAAATACCTATGCTCGAATTAATATTATTTTGAAAATACGCTGCAATTATATAAGTCTTAGAATTAATCGCCCATCTGCTTATTGATTTATTTAAATGACAATACGAAAGCATACTGATTCATATATTGTGTTCCTCTTATCACTAAGTAATCAGCTTGATTAATTATTCGGCCCTCATTTAGAACACGTTAGTTTATATGACAATACGAATGTTTCACTTTGAAGTATCAAACATGATACCCAAAATATTAGGCATTTATGTGCTAGTCTTACAAAAATAGCAAAGATGTATTTTCCTAATTTTAAGTCTTATAATAGAATTTTGCATACAGTGTGTCTGATTCAAGCTCTATTATCAGTAACCGTATTTCACAGCATAGAGTGCCATATACGTTAGCATCAGCATTGTATCCTCTTCTTATATCTAAGAATTACAATATTCAATGCTCAGGAAAACAGATAGGGAGAGAAATATGACACAGGTGTTAGTACAGCGCGCTAGTATCCAAAGAAGAAGAGGCTACTATAATGTAAAACACGGTTATTCATTCTTCCTATTTTTCTATGACTAATAATATTTTTGCTATACGCCTTACCCGAGTCAATCTATTCACTGGTAACAACAGATATGGAACTGATAACCGTAAACGTCTTTTATGGTCAATACAATAGTCTGTTTTTATTTCACAGGAGTACCATTGTTTTGAATCCTTGTACTTCTAATTATGGTTATGCCTTCAATAATCTAATCTGATACGCCATTATTATAATAACATCATATAATACACAATATAAAGATGTCCACTCGAACAATATATATATCTACGTGACATTGATGATGTCAAAATATAAAAAGATATTGTCTATTTGATATAGTATAGAATTCATTCGATCTCGTACAAGATGTCTATGGTATTCTCCTATATTGTCGTATTGATAAGTTTTTTAAAACTTTATTGTAAGAAAAAATTTTCCTTGAAACATGAATACCTTAATATATGTTTTATTTAGATATGTGTCCTCTTGAATATCGTATCATTGATCCAAATCATTCATTTTGTTCGGAACCATTTCCAAATGTTGTTGATCAACGAGTTACTTCATATGAACGTGGATATATTGTTAACGTACATAATTATGAACGACGTCGTGCATATGGTACTAATATCGAAAAAATGGTACAGTTATTTTTCTTCTAGTGATACATAGTCAGATATTTCATAATTTAATAGTATTGGAATGATGATTTAGCTGAAATTGCTCTTCGTCATGCTCGTAAATGTATTTTTGAGCATGACAATATCAATCAACGAAGTGTACCAAGTAAGTTAGAAAAAGTATATGAGATTTTTTTGTACGAAAAATTTTAGAAATTCCTTTATCAACGGGACAAAATCTCGCTATGGGTTATGAAAATTGGATAGAAGTTATAGAAGGATGGAGTGAAGAAAAAGAATTTTATTATCATACCTATCCATCAACAAATATTTTCAGTCATTATGCACAAGTAAAAATAACTATAGAAAAACAATTTAAAACTTTATTCATATTGCACTATAGATGATTTGGCATTCATCAGCATTAATTGGTTGTGCAGCAACAATTTGTCCTCCATTTGGAACACATAATATCTCATGGCGATTTTTTGTTTGTAATTATATCATGGGGTAATTAGTAAAATGAAGAATTCAAAAAAAAAAAAGAATGAACGTATAAATATATTGTAGAATGTTAAACAGCAATTATCATGAAGCATTTCAAGAAAGCATTGAATATCATCCATTGCATGGTTATTTAATCATAGAATCTTGTTTCTTTTAACGTAAACTATTTCATTTTAGATTGTCAAGGTAAAGTATGTCTATATAATGGTACTCTTGATTTAAGTACATGCAAATGTCAATGTTCTGCATATGCAAGTGGTTCACAATGTGAAAAATGTAAGTCACTTGATCTTTGATTAAATATTCATTAAACAAAAATGTTATAGTAAATTGTTCAATATTACCGCCATGTCCATATCATTCATCAGTATCTTGTATAGCTGTTGATGTTCCATTAGAATGTCCTCGTCTTTGTGGTTTATGTGATCGATATGAAATATTAAAATATGTTTATGGTGAAGAGAATTTAACATCTAATATCTCTACAACTATTTTTACTATCAATGAAAAAAGGTCAGATGATCATGTTGTCTTTTGTAAATGAAAATTCGATTATAGCATTCAATTGTTTATATAAGAATCACTTAGCTTTTTTCCTTTCTTGTAGTTCAATCAATATAAAGTCAATATTTCACAATTCACAAATTCTGTATTTATAAAACAAAAATTATTTAAGCTTCATTGATTTAAACTTTTTTCTTGAATATTTAGCACACGATTTAATTCAACATCAATTACCAATACGACAATATCTATGATCGTTTTATCGACATCATCAACACGATATTCACCTTATCATATGATTTTATATGTATTTATTAAATATTTATTTTTTGCATAATATTATTCTCATTTAAAGATTTCCCTTCACAGAAAAAAAAAGTAACAATAAATTAATTGTATATAAATATATATCACATATAAAGAGAATAGAACCCCAAAATGAAGAAAGAAAAAACCGCTACAAATTTTCTTGAGCAATACGATTTTGTTATGTTAGAAATAAATATATATATAAAATGCGGCCATAATCGAAGAAAACTTCACTCTTATCAGATATTAATGATGAATTCCATTGGTTTGCATCGATAAAGATGTTATGCCATTTGATAGTATTAATTTTTTAGGGAAATCAGTAATAGGCTAGGAAAAACAATCATCAATAAATAAAATCACATTTTTGAAAGAAAATTTACTTGTTGTGTATCAGTATTTATTTCAATAAAAATTGGTAGATCATACGTTTGGCCTTTAACAAATTCAAGATTCTAGAAAAATTTATCAATGAAAAAAAAATAGTTTACATAAATAAATATTTATTACTTCTCCAGCATAGGAAACAAGTGATGAAATTTCACAAGTCTTTCCAACTGTTTCACTAAAATGAAAAGATTATTTTGTTAATTAAATTCTTTTCATTAGAAATATTAGATCATAAATACATATGTTCGTTTATATCTAATGGTAAATGAGCACCAGCTTTTTGAAGCCAACGAACATGTTGAAGCATTAAATCTCGTCGACATGTTGCTGCTGTATCTTTTGAACCTGAACCATTTTTTAATGGTGAAAATTCATCTTCACGACATACTTCCCAAACAGCAAATGTTCTATTTTTCAAAAAAAAAATATTCTTGTTCACAATTCAATCAATCTCATTCTATATTATCTTAAATTCAATTGTTTTATATTCACATAGAACGGAAAAGCATATTTTGACATTAATCGAAAAGTTTTCCTTACAGTTTGTCCTGGAAAAAATTTCAAATCCAATCAACTCTACTTTTGAGTTTCTATCAAAAGTCGGATTAGAAAACTTCATCGAATGTATTACGAATACAACTCGGATTCGTGTTCGACTTTCGATTCGACGAGCTTTGTCCGTGTACTACTTTTTTTCTCAATACAAACAAGACGATAATATGAATTTTCTTACTTTGAAAATGGAAAGACATCAAAAACAAATTTTTCTAATTTAATTCCATTGATTTGTGATGGTTTACTAACATATATACCATTATCATCAACGGACGGAATTTTCTTTTTAGCAACATGATAACGAAGTTCTTTTTCATGTTTTCTAAATAAAAAGTTTTATATTAAAAAAAAAAAGAGGAGCGAAAAAAATTTTTTTTTTCTTACTGGCAAATATCTTGAAGAAAGTTTAAAGTAAAAAAATGATTACAAATATTTCCAGCATTGAATACTAATTCATCACTATCATCAGATTTTTTTCTATGTGCTGTTTGTTCAGATATTTCAGAATATTCAACAACTTGAAAACGATCACCAACTTTACATATAACACCAACTGCTTCAGTTGGAATGATTTTTTTTACAACCTAATAAATAAATTCATTATAAATAATTAAGAGATCAAGAAGAAGAAAATTTTCATTTTACTTTTGCAGCACAATCAGCATTTTTATTTAAACAAAATCCAATAAATATTGGATCAGCTAAACGAACAAGAATATTATCTACGCCATAAACATGTATATATTTAATATGACGTTTTTTCATTTCATTTAAAACTGCACGAGTTTTTAATGCACGATATAAACCACCATTTCCATCAGCTGCTTTTGTTAATTTATATTTTTCTTCAAGTAAAATTTTTCCTTGAAAATCTAATGCTGGTAATGTATGTTGTTCAAATAAAATTATATTTTCACGTTTTAAACCAAAATAATTATGGGAACGAAAATATTCTTCTGTTTGTTCTTGTGTATGTTCACTTGTCATGATAAACCTAAATAATATTCATATATTCTCATATGTTTAATTTTGTTTTGACAAAACTAACCATGGTATAGTTCCAGTTGTTGTATTAAACTGTTGATTAGCAATTTGTTCAAGTCTTCGAATACGTTCAGCTTGAATTTGATAAAGAGATTTTTGTGATGGTAAATCAATATTAAACATTCCTTTTGGATAATCAACGCCTATAAAAATGATCAATAAGAAAAATTAGAACCAAACAACAACAACAACAACAACAAAAATTCATACCAAGACGAGTTCCTTGTCCACCAGCCAGTAATAGTACACATACAGAACCTTGAGAAATAGCTTTTAATCCTTGTAGTCGATAATCTTCAAGTTCTTCTTTGCTTGATTCATTGATTGATCCAGCCATATGATCAGGAATGGGTTCCATAATATCATCAATAACTTCTGATGTTTTACCATTATGATTATTTATTTCTGATAACAATTCATATTTGATACCATCATAAGCTTCTTTAACACGATCGAAATCAACTTCGTTAATATCACGTAAGAGTATTTTACGTTGTTCATCATTAAGTTCAGACCAATAAGCAAGTAAATGTGTTTGATTAAAGTTTGTTAAACGTTGTTGTATGGCTGAATCAATCTCCATCTTTGAATAAAATGAACAAAACAAGAAAAAAAAAGAAAGAAACATAGGTCAAATATAACGAGAAAAAAATAAAAATCTCTCAATCTTTATGTCAATAGACAAAGATAAATTTTGTTGACTCAATTCAATCGATTATGCAAGATAAGTTCAATTAATTCGAATAGATAATATCTTTGTTATCTTTGTTATTCTTCACATACATTGACATTTGTCAACGATTAAAATCATGACTCAATGTTTTTCTTCCTAAGTCCAGAGAAAAATAATCCGGCTTTTTTTTTTGTTTTGTTTGAGAAAAAAAAAAAGGGAATGCCAAATCAATCTTTTCTTTTTTTTTTTTTTGCTAATCAATGAATCATTATTCAAGGTTTTTAGCATATATATCATATCATTGATGGATAACAACATAATGAAAAATACCAATTAGTCTCATATTCACTTTGAGAGTACGACATCTATTTCATTTGAAAATTAAGTTAAAAAAAGATTTTAAAAAATATTTACTCATTTGAATATATTGAATTTTTATTGAAAAATAGATGACGCTATAAGAGAGTAATTTAGACAAAAAAAAAACAAATTATTAGAGCAAATTCATATGTTTTCCATGACTTTAATTTGAAATTATTGAAAAAATTTTTTTTTTCTTCATATATTTAAAGTCTAGTTTTCAAATTGTTGAAAAATTTATTCGTGTTAATAATGAACCAATAGAAATATCTAAAAACCAAATATATTCATTTTCTTCATTTATTTACTTACTTAATCATGTCACTGCCGGGTATTGTAAGTAAAGAATATATCATTGAATAATTGAAATTTATTTAATTTATATTTAAGCGTTCTGATGATCATCGTCGTCGATGGGATTTACGTGAATATGAAAAAAAAGCAAGTGATCGAATTGAAAATCTTCGTTCAATAAAAAAGAAACCACCTACAACAGATGAAAGTGATGATGATGATGATGATGAAGAAAAGAAAAAAAGTGATGAAAAAAAAATTGCACGAACACTTCTTCAAGCACGAGAATTTAAAGTTTGTTAAATGAAAAACTTTTTTTTATATTTAGTTTTTAATTTCATATATTTAGGTTGATTTAGAATCTCGATTAGGTAAATCTGTTATTGTTACAAAAGCTACAGCACCTTCTGATGCAGGAGGGTAAGAAAATATTTTTCTATTTGATTTGTTTTATACGATTAATTTCATTTAGTTATTATTGTAATGTATGTGATTGTATTGTAAAAGATTCAATTAATTTTTTGGATCATATTAATGGAAAAAAACGTATGTTGAAATTATTTTTATAACTATATGAAATTATATTTTTATTATATTAGATCAACGAAATATGGGTATGTCAATGCGTGTTGAACGATCAAATGTTGATCAAGTACGAAAACGAATTGAATTGAATAAAGCTAAACAAAATGAAGTTGAAAAAGAATATAATTTTGAAGAACGTATGAAAGAATTAAAAGAAGAAGTATGTCAAAAAAAAAAAAAAAATTTTTTTGATTATATTTCATTGAATTTCTTTTTTTTTGTATAGGAAGACAAAATGAAAGCACAACGACGTGATAAAAAAAAAGAAAGTAAAAAACGAAAATTAGATGAATATCAAACAACTACTAATGATAATGAAGATGCGGTTGAAGATGATATGGCTGCAATTATGGGATTTAGTGGTTTTGGAGGTTCAAAAAAATAATATCATTGTAAATGTATATTGTCTTATAAATAAAAAAAGCTAAACTTTTATATAAACCGAAAAAAGTTATTGATTAACAAAGATGTCTATTCGTGAATATCGTACTTGACATTTTTCATGTTATTTTATTATTTTGTATATAATTTTCTAATACAATTCAGAATTAAAATTGAATTTATTATAAATAATCTATAGATTTTGTTTTTATATTATTGGTAGAATGAAGTGAGGCTTGGCATTGACATTACTAATGATAATTCATCAATGAATAGTTGTTTACATCTGTTTTTGCTAATTAGTAATGTTGTTTGTTGTAACTATGTAGGAAAAAAACAAAACTGTAAACTGTCAAAGAATTATATAGAAAACAGACCAAAACTCTGCCAGCTGATGTACAGAGAACGTTAAATATCGATATATTTATCGTATTTAAACAAAACGCTCGAAAGGATACGAAGATTCATAATTACTATAACAACTTTTATTTGAATTTAATACAAAGTTTAGACAATGATAATCAAATAGAGAGTTACAATAGAAAATAATTGAATTGTCATCTGTATGTCATTGGTTGATTTAATTTTCTTTTTTTTTTTGTTTGACAACACACGTAAAAAAGAAACTAATACTAAAAATGGATTGATAAGCGATGAAATTTCATGTTTCTAGGATTGTTTTGTCGAATACATAAAGAACATAAATACTTTCAGTAATGAATCAATGATAATGAAAAATTCTATTGAAATCTTTTAATGATTTTCTTATGAGACTAATTGTATATCTTTCACCACGAACTAGGAAGTTGCGCATTCTAAAAATTGTGTACTCACAGCTCCACACTTGTTTACAACTAAAACTATTCTATACAACTGAAGGTTTTTGTGTTGGTGTTAGTTTAATCGACTATTAAAGTGATATTTTGTCGATAAATAACATTCACTGAGATATCTAAAAGAGTTTGATTGTATGCATCTTCCTAGGGGAATTATGACCGTTTTATCGAATTTTTAGCTTGTGGCAAGGTATTCATGAAGAAAAGCAAAAAAGAATAGAAAATTTTCAATTAAACTTTTACCCATAAATAAACCATCCGTTTCTATCCAAACTTTTTGAGTATTCTAAGGCTGAATTGTACTGGTAAGCGAAACAGACCCAAGCACAAAAGTTTAGCTTTTCTTAGATTCACAAAAACGTGGACTTGTAGCTTTCTACCATCGTTAAATCATTTTTTTTCCAACAGACGTCGTAAAGTTCCCTAGTTTTTTTTACATTATACTGATGAATTCTTTTAAATAACACTAGAAAAAAACTTCAAAACTCTCGAGTATCATACCTAGGGATGGGTAATCTTCTAATTCATCAAACTTAAACCCATAAGATGATTCTATTTAGAATCATGTCAATAAGAACATTAATTATGAAAAGTTCAAAAGACAAGAACACTTGTAGAAGCAAATAATGATCATGACAAAGTGTTTCTAATTTTAGCATTATAAGGAAATCATTAAAATATGACAACAAGTTTTTTGCCATTGTTAGCTGTCTAGAGAACTTGACAATGCATTTTTTAAAAAGAAAATTTCAATGCTATAGATTTTTATGTATTGAATAAAATCTCTAGTCAGCATGAATCCAATACAAATAGCAAATTGGTTTTGAAATTAGAAAAATATCATAACGATCATGTTGTCGAATATTCACAAAATATTAATCAATTTGTATGTCACATCAATCAACAAAAGAATGATTATAATCTAATTGTAAACAGAATATAATGACATGTTTTGTTCAAAGTGAAGATAGTCAATAGTGAAGAGAAAGAATATAAGTTTAACATGACATGAAAATATATCGTGGCATATTTTATAGAAAACAATATGAGCATTGTACTCAGCTAATAGAAAAAGAAATCGAGCTTTTTTGTGTTTAACAATGCATATTTAATGTTATATATTCTATCCTAATTTAATACTTTAGATGAAAATTACATTATTGATTATATTATAGTTTAAGATAAAATGAGATATTTATCGAAAATAGATATTTCATCATACAATGAAAGAAAATATTCTTTGTAATATATATATATATGACAAGGCAACATACAATGATAGGTAATACTTAACTTTGATTAAAAATAAGCAATCAAATATAGTTTCATTTGGTCATATTTTTCAATATGATGATTTAACTAAATAAGAGAATTCTTTTTGAGAAAAGATTTTATAATTTATAATAATAATAATAATTCTTAATCTTCGCAGAGCTTTTTATTAATTCACACTGACAAACAATCTTTTATTTGACTTCAGTGTAAGTACTTCTTAAGAACATTTGAATTTTTATATGCAATAAGTTTTATCAAGTAAGACGAAATAATTTTATTATAACTTATAGAATGTATTAACATGTGTGAAGAGTCTGATTAGAATCTTCTATACTATTAAATTGCTTTTGTTTCTGGATGAATGATTAACCATAAAAAATTTCAACTTCGTTAAGTAGGTCAAAATACGTAGGTCTCTGAGTACAAATATTTAGATTATTGTCGATCTTGTACTAATCATTTCCGTTTGTTTTATATACAAGTAGATTATTTCCTTTACCATATAATATATGATCAATAGATCATTGATTACACTTAGGCATACATCAAAGTCAAAACTCGTTATGAACTCTTCATATATATATATAAAACGAAAACTAGTTTTTAAATTGATTACTGGCTTTTCTATGTAAGTTTGATTATAAATATGTTATCTTATGATAAAATATTTACTTTTCTATTTTTGCTCAAGATATATGAAGCACATATGTGTGTTTTAATAGGCATAGAGAGTAATAGTGTATATGAATAAAACTATTTGTTATCGACGTGATGTATACTAAGTTACTTTAGATATCTTGAAAAGAAAACAGTACTAGAGACCTTTGTTCAGAGGAGTTATCAGTAAAAAAAACCTAGCTGTAGTGATGTGACGAAATACGAAAACATTGAAAGAACCAACATTTTTACAACGACTGACTGTATTTTAGAAAGCCTTTGGGAATTTACTATAGCATTTCGTATCTTCTATACTGATAATTCCTACTGAATCAAATCTACCATAATTTAGTAACTAATTTAAGATACGTCCAAACACATTAGAACAGTAAAGAGAACGAGTTAATCTTTTTTCTTGTTACTAAATGAAATGATTCGTGTTTCAGCAAAACAAGATATTTGCTTAAATATTTATAACATAGATCATCAAGTGCACATTCATCATAAGTAAATGCAAAAAATAAATCGTTTCAGTAAAACTGGTGATAAGTTCATCTAAGTACAATCCACACAACTTCTCATCTACCTTTAGTAAATGTAGTGCATATAGCTATAGAAAACTACATATTCATTGTAAAAAAAAAATGGTTTTTCTCCGTATGGACAACACCCTATATACTAATTGGTTTAACTAGTAGAACTCCTTAACAAGTGTGGGTCCTGCAGTGTAAAAAAATCTTGGTGCCTTTTTCTCTTATTTTCTGAGGATAAGAAGTTTTCAAATATTTAGGATGTTCCGAATTAGAAAACAACAATGACATAGATCTACCAGAAAAAGGCCTTTTTCTAATACTTCCGCGCCTTTTATTTCAAAAATGTTTCACTCAAATATATCTTCTAAAATTCTAATACATACATCCAGAGATACAAAAGTTCAAGGGGAACTTTGTGAGATACTTGAAAATTCAGAGAGATTTTTCTTACAGAATTGTTATCAGTTTGTTTTCCGTCGCAGTTGAATGAGGTGTTCTTTTCCTATATTTTACGTTGACAAGAGAAAGTTGTTTGAGTAAAAAAAAGTCATCTATTTTAGAGATTTTGAAATTCTTTATTTTCAAGCAGAACAGGCAATATTTTACAATTAAGATATGAAAAAAAATATACTTCAAATATGAATATGTTTTTTGTTTCTTTTGATCTATTCAGTTGGTAGAACACCTTGTGATGAGTGTAAAAATATTTTATTTCGAAATTTGAACTATTACAGAGGATTAAAAAAAGTGTCTAGTGCTTGAATTTCCACACTACTAGATATCACTATATCAGATACATATTTCTACGGTAGTACATTCTCTTTTGTCATTATGTTAAGACATCTATAACAGAATTTACTACTTATCGAAAAACTCTGAATTCTGATCTTTTCAGATCCGTTGACGGAAAAAGTTTTCTTCACGCTAAAAAAAGTGTGAGTGAAGTTTCTATTCAACACTCACGTTCTTTTTTTAATGACAGGTGTGGTAGAATCTATATTTAGATATTATGGTCTCTTCGTTTTTGTACGAAACAAAATAGTAAGAAAATAATCATTATTAAAACAAGAGAACATTTTTTTATACTCAACACTGATTAAAAAATTTCTTGACAAAAAATCTTTTGCCTATAGAAAATCGGATCTTTGAAGATGTAACAGTAAAAATCATGTTGATATTCCAAATAATCAGAATCGTTGATTAAACTATAATCCACCAAGTTTTGATAAAAAAAAGATTAAATACTGGATGACTTTTCTTTGTAAAACATCTCTTATGATAAACATTTAATTCATATTTATTCAAAAGAAGACATCTATCTTAAACGAGACAAATTATTTTCAAAATAAAACATACATTCTCAAAATTATATGCAAATAAAAGTATGAACTTTTGTATTAAATTTCTTTAAAATATTTTTTTTCTCTATTTGCACTTTCAGGATGAAAATATTCATAGTTCGCAAAAGAATAATTAGATGATTGCGGATGTGGGTGTATTTACTCGTTATCAACGTAAGAAAATAATTAAACATTTATACACTTTATTGTAAAACTAGTTTTAACATTATTATATATATGTTATAATCTAAAATCGAGTTGAATATAAAATATTGAAAAATGTTGATGTATAATTGAAAATGCACTGAATATTGTTATCATACAAATGTATTTACATTAATAAAAATTATTAATTCTCAAGAGAATAAAATCGAAAATAGCATAAAATGTCAATTATTAAATAGTTCGAAGCAAGTGCAACGTCAAATAGATAAATAAGATTTAGTCCAATAATTGTATAATTCTAATAGGAAATATAATTGAATAATTAATGTTTGTTTATTTCAAAGAAAAACCTCAAAGTAAAAAAAAAAAAACACAAAACGAACTATATCAAACTTGATTATCTTTTTCTCTTATTATTGCTTTCATTCATATTGAAAATATGAAGGGAAAAAAAAACATTAACAATTATAAATTATTCATAATAAAATATTATGAGAGAGTATCTATGATATTTTCCAAAAAAAGGAAAAAGAAAAAGAACGATGAATATACTTATATATTCAGCCTGTTAAATCATTTTTGTCTTTTTTTGAGGTCTCATTTAGTACGTTTCGTATGTTTTATCTTATTTCTATGTAAATTCTGTCATCATTTTTTTCTTTGTAATCATCGCAATTTTTTTCATTTGCATTATATCTATTAATATTTATCATGCATTGCAGACGTTCGTCGTATATTCATATTTAGTCAATAAAAAAAAAATAATATTATTGATCTTCTTTCTTTTCTTTTTTTTTCGTACAAAGAACATGTAATAGAATCGAGTTGATATAATAATAAAGTTGGATAAAAACTTGTTAACGTCTAATTATTCTGTGTTATATTTTTGTAAAGCAATACCAAAGATGAGAATTGATGCAAAAATATTACGACTCAAGCGATACGAATGACAAGAAAGAATAGAACTGCCAAAAAGAAATTTCGAGAACAGAGAAGGAAGTGTCAAATGAGAAAAAGTCTGAATGCAAGCGTTTGTATTAGACGAACGCACAATTGTCTTTTTCTTTGGTCTCCTCCTCCTTCTTCTTTGCCTCCTTCGTTCTTTTTTTCTTTTCCTCGACCACGCATTTCCCTACAGCGTCAACAGTTGTTTCATTTAATAGAGTTGGCATTCTCTTACACACATGCTCGTATATATATATATATATATATATATCGTTGCGTGTTAGTCAGTAGGTAAAAACATGAAGTTAATTATGAGAAAGATATAAAAACGATGTGTCTACTAGGTGTCTTGCACCAGGTAATAATAAGGAAATGAACATCCGCATATTCATATATGAACTATATTCTTCCATTGACTATTCCTATGACATGATACTAAGTGAGTTTCATATAACAAGAAAAAAAATAAATTATTTAAATATATCTTGATTGAAATTATTTTTCGTTTTCTTTTAATATTCTTGATGGATACTATTAACCTTTCTTTAACTGATTCGACAACAACAATTGAAGAAGAATCAAAAACTGATAATCAAGTTCCGGTAAACTATGAATTAATAAAAGATCAAATATTTGATGTTGGCCCACGTTATACAAATTTAAAATATATTGGTGAAGGTGCTTATGGTATGGTTGTAGCAGCTTATGATAATGAAACATGTCAACGAATTGCAATAAAAAAATTATCTCCATTTGAACATCAATGTTTTTGTCAACGTACATTACGTGAAATAAAAATTTTAGCAAGATTTAAACATGAAAATATTATTAATATATTAGATATTTTACATTCAAATGTATATGAACAAATGAAAGATATTTATTTAGTACAACAATTAATGGAATGTGATATGTGTAAATTAATTAGATATCAAAAACTAAGTAAATACAATGAATAGAAAAAATTATAAAATAAAAATCAATTCGTATTTTTTCTTGTTATATAAGGTCCAGAACATGTTTGTTATTTACTATATCAAATTTTACGTGGATTGAAATATATTCATTCAGCTAATGTACTTCATCGTGATCTTAAACCATCAAATATATTATTAAATACAAATTGTGATTTAAAAATATGCGATTTTGGTTTAGCTCGAGTTGCAGATCCATCATTTGATCATAATGGTGTACTTACTGAATATGTAAATATTAGTTTTAGTTTTTAAAATTATTCAATTTTAGATTACTTCGTATATATAGGTTGCAACAAGATGGTATCGAGCACCAGAAATAATGCTCAATGCTCGTGTTTATAATAAACCAATTGATATATGGTCCGTCGGATGTATACTAGGCGAAATGCTTGACGGAAAACCATTATTTCCTGGTACGTTTTATTTATTTGAAAAAAAAATCTTCACTTATTTTTATTAATTATCTTTCTAATAGGTAAACATTATATTGATCAACTCAATTTAATTCTTAATGTTGTTGGTTCTCCAGATGAACATGATTTAACATCAATTGTGAATGAAAAAGCACGAAATTATATAGCTAGTTTAAAACCTCGTATAAAACAACCTTTTACTGTTCTTTATCCTCATTCAGATAAAAATGCATTAGATTTACTTGATCGTTTATTAACATTTGATCCAAATAAACGTATTAATGTATCTGATGCACTTGCTCATCCATATTTAAAACCGCATCATGATCCAAATGATGAACCTATTGCTAAACATCCATTTACTGTTGAAATGGAAATGGATGATTATCCAATATTAGAATTAAAACAATTAATATGGTATGAAGCAAAATTAATTAAAAACCATATTTCATCACAACAAATGCCTATTACACCATAATAAAAAAATAAGTTTTATCTTGTTATTATGAGTTTTTTTTTCATGGTTGATTCTTTGCATTATTTTCTCCCTTTGTTGTTTTGTTCTTAATGTACAGATAAAAAACAACGATAAAAGCTATACTTTGAATTTTTTCAAGCATAAGAAAAAGATATGATCATGATTATTCCCTAGAGATTTCCATTAACTTCCAGCCATCTCAATAAGTTTGGAACGTCAAAAAACCTCTGTCACGTATATTATCTAGTAATAAATATTCCGAATTTATAATAAATGATAATATCCATATTCATTCAATTCGATGAGATAGATGCATTATTTACAAAATCAACGAGATAATTGCTAATACTCATATTGAATATATCTATAAGACCATTTACCCGCCCGTGAATTAAGAAATCTATTAACGTATAATAAATGTCCTCGAGCAATAAATGATTCTAGTCCATTAATCATATTTGAATTAAATTATTTTTTCCATAATATAATAGTGCTTATGAACCAAAAATGTTGTGCTACAGAGTGAATATAATAATTAACACATCATTTTATTAATATAGTATTAAGATTACTATATTTCATGTAGTATATCTCATGAATGAAAATACGATAATATATTCTTACTTAATAATTTATAATTCATATTTATCTTTTCGGTGTAAAGTATATTTATTCAGAGAAAAACTATATTAAGCAGACAATATGTTGATTATATATTCAATTTACTGATATTATTTGAATAACTAATCGAAAGGAAATAAATACATTTCATGATATAGTAAGAGATAAGTAACACTTGATTAAAGTATAACAAAACAAAACAAAAGCATCTATATTACCTAATTAATTTGCTAGAAAGAAATCTAGAATAATTTGGTATATAAAAGATTAAATCTTGTGAAATCATTCTACCAAAAAAGCTCAAGTACATAAACATCGTGTATGAATTAGTAGAAAAGAGATTTTTCGGAACTCATTTCACTTATTCAGACATGACAGATTTCTACTGGAAATCTTACAATGAAATATATAGAAAAAAAAGGCATTTAGTAAAGATACAATATTTAATTGCACTATTACAAACAAGGATTGAGTATTTGTTAATAACTTGACTATTGCATTATTCATCTATTAACAAAGAATAGATTTCTTCCTATGGTATTACACTCTCTACCCCCAACAGTGTTTTCAGAAGTCTCACTAATAAAATTATTACAGAAATAGACTATTGATCTTGTTCAAATGCTAATGGTAGTCATAGAACAACTAGACGTATTATATTTTAGGTGAGCTTATTTGATCAGTACACTGATCATTGAAAGAAAGGAACGAATCGACTGATTGTTAAAGTCACAGCTTTCTCATGTACAATGGTAATTTTGACACAAACTTTATAAAAGCAAATCTTTAGTCATTAATCAGAGAACTATTCGAGCTGTAAATTGTCGTTTGAACTTATATTGAGATTACAAGGAAGCTTCAGTAAGACTAGAATTAAAACAATTAGTTCCGATCAAGCTCTAGAAATGAATTATGAGCACTTTACTGAATCTTTGACCCAGATTTAGGTATTCATTGGAGGATCAAATAATGAAAATTCGATCTGCAATGCAGCCTATAGATACATCTAATGACTCTTGAAACATCCTGAGAGTTTCAACTGAAAAGAAGATTCGTATGTTTAAATATTGAATTTTCAAATAAACTGGATTTTTCTGATATGCCTATGGCAAGCGATGAAAATTCAAAATATTGACATAGGAATATTTTTTTCGGCTGTAGTTTTCAGTATATTCATTCGATCTATTGATGGGCGAAATTTTTGATCGAGATTTCCATTATTTGATTTTTTTGTCATTACTTAAAAATAGGTCGAAAATTCTGTAAAAAATTTACAACTCGGCTTTAACGTCGAATTATCCCTGGAATACTTCTCTTATGAGTAATAACATAATAAATGATGCTATCACTTTTAACTCCGATAATTGCAGCAGAATCTATTCAATAGTTTAGCATGTCTTATCTAACGAGCTATCAAGAAGCCTGTGCAACACTTTTGATTCATTTGTAAGTATTTTCGTTGATAGAAATATGACATAAAATGTCTTCGAGATATATAAAAACTGGCAGACTTAAAATAGACTCTAAAAAAAACCAGTCGAGAATTATCTTCTGTATTTTCCAATATATTCGATAAAAACAACCTCCATACAAGATTAAGTCATAGAAAAATCCTCAGCAGATATTTTTCGTTCCGCTACTTATTTTGGTTTCAAGTAGAAAAAAAAACTTGTAAACAAAAAAAAAATTATTTTTCCAAATTTACGATTTTTTATGTAATGCTTTTCAGAGACAGAGAACGAAGAAACAAAAAAAGATATTTTTTGAGCAATTGATAGTTCATTAAATTCTTTACAATTAGCATTGAGTTATTTGTAGATCACATGATTCAATTTTTTTCAATGGTGTTTCTGAAGAACAGTTCATCAGAAATGCTTGAAAATTCACGATAAATAGATAGATCTTGATGAGGAGAGCAATAATTGTCGTAGACTCCCTGTTCCCCAATACTTTCCTTTAGGAAATGTCTGAGTCACATAAGCTGAAAACTGCCTACTTTCTCAGCTACAATATGTCGAATGTTTTTTTTCCACGGACATTAGACACTGTTTGAAATATCTAATGTTTTAAGTTTCTTTCTATCTCTTTCCATTCATATAAAACGATAAAAATACTTAGGGTTTCTCCAAAAATGTTTTTTTTAAAACAAAAAAATCAGGCATCCGAAACATTATCCAATATCTGCGGGAAAGAGTTTTAGTTCGATTGAATGTATTATGTTGGAGAAATGGGAGGTGATTTTGCACTTTTTTGTATAAAAATCAATTTCGAGAAAAGCAAAAAATAAATTTTCCTGAATCTATTAGGACTTTTTCTCAAACTAAAGTGATTGAAAACTGACAATATTAAGAGTTCATTACTCGTACACTCATCATTTTGGAAATGCAAAATAATTATTATCATTAAGAGAATTTTTACATGCAAAGAATAATTACAGCATGAATTTTTCTAAAGTTAGTTTTAATAAAAGTACTAAGCAACAACGAGGAGTGTATTTGACAGAACATACTTTGAAACAATATTAACGATGAAAAACCAAAAGCTGAAAACACTTTGATTTTAACATCTGAAAAACCAGTGGCTACTACTTGTGATATACTCGCAACGATATGCCTCAATAATAGGTTTCGGTAGACAATGTCGGTCAAATGTCCTCGCCATAGGGATCTTGGGTTCATCAAAGTCTCATGATTTGAAACTTTGTAAGAACGCCTATCTTGATGTACCTTGGTCGTCGATATAAATCAGTGGTAAAAAATATGATCTACATGAATGTAATACTGTTACGCTACTGAATCTCAATGAATCTCGGATATTTTTTCAGAGAACTGATCATCAAATGACGCTATTCTCATGGTGAAATTGTTAAGAAATTAGACTTCGTGGTATGAGCATGAGAACCTTATTATAATTAGCATCAACAGATGCGCGCCAATTTTTTTCCAGAATAACCTAATTTGCTGAAACTTGCAGAAAACATAAAGTAACTTGCGATTTCTGGAAAATCAAGGTCATCCGTAATATGATATGCATTCTGTCAAAACTTAACAAAATCAACTTATATTTTGTATACTTTAAAGCTTCATTGTCTAGCTATATTTTCATAGGTAAAACAGGTAAAAATTATGTAATCTCAATGAAAGACGGGAGTTCTATTGCCAAAATGATGAAATTGTAGACCTGATGAAAAACAAAAGCGTTTAGACTGAAGTTTGTGGCAATGATTAACGTGTATTTAGAATCATATTTCTGCATATTATCAAACCATGGAATTTTAACGAGTGCAACATCCAATGTATTGAATTCTCAATTGAACGAAAATATTCAATTTTGCTTAAATAAAATAATAAAATATGTAAAATTAATATTTATTGAAATAGATCAAATTGTTTATTTTATATCGATCAACAGAAAGAAAAGAAAAGACATGACTTGCGATGTAAAGAATTGCAATCGAAGATTAAAAAAAAATTGTAATTTCTATGCTTCATAGTTACAAAAAAAAGGAAAGAAAAGAGATGTATAGAGTTAGAAATTCTACACATATTTAATACTAATAAAAGGAATGATTGCCAAAAAAAAGGACACAAAAGAAAAATACACATATATATTAAATAGAATTTATTTACTAGTCTCACTAAGAGAAAATAAGATCATCTATTTGGTGACTTAAGCATAACCGATCAAACAGATTATTGTATAAAGAATTTCATTTAAGAAAAAATTGTTATTACTTCACGTCCACTACCACGCATTAATAATAAACGATCTAAACCTTCTGTTAATGCATCAACATATTCCATATATGAATAAGCAGCTAAACTTGTATGTTTTGATGGTGGTGATGGAAGATTAATAAGAACAAGTTTAGCATCACGTGAACGATCACGAATTTGTTGATTAAGTCGTACAGCTGAATGCATTTTACGCATTGATGATTCACTCCTATGAAAAAAAAAACAATACAACAAAAACTATCAAAATATAAACATTTTTTTGCTGTTGTTCGTATTTACACAGATTTTTTTAAATTTTCAAGTTGATTTGGTGTGAATGTGTAATGATATTGATCATTTGATTCATCAATACTTTGTTGTCGTTGATTATTTAACAGTGATTCCATTAAAATTTGTGGCTAAAAAATATATATATATTGATTAATATATATATATGAGTAATCTTTAAATAATCAAGTACGAATAGTACGAATCAATACACAAGCATAGATTAGAAAAAAAAGAGGGAAAGTTGATCAATCAAAAGCTAGACATGACACAAAAATCATCACTATACTGATCACCTTGCTCGCTCGTCGTTCAAAACCTTTAGCCTATATGTATATATATAAATACAAATATGGTTCGTTGAATAAAGGCTTT